TCCGAATCCAGGATATTTGGAGTGAACTCGGATGTCTGCAATTTTGACACTAGTGAGGAAAGTTTTCATTTGATGATAATATAAAGAGAAACGCTTTTCTAATTATAAAGGCAAAAAATCTCTTGCAGTTGAAATTTATAATGGATGGGGACTCTCAGTTAGCATAATGGCTATGTCGCTGGACTCCCACATAGTCGACCGCAGTTCACGTCCCGGACCCGGTGGCTTAAAACTCACGCCGGGCGCGTGTGCGGGCATGCCCAAGATCCCGCGAGGAGAATGGAGGAGAAGGGATTGTGGCGTGACCGTCCCCTCTGGGGGGGGATTTCCCGCTTTCTGTCTCTATGTCTTTCTCTGTCTGTCTGGTGAGCACACGCGCCCTATAGCGAAAACCTCTCCAAAAAAAGAAAAAGAAAAAAAAAAAAGAAATTTATAATGGAAAGATATTGTCATTGAATGAGTATGGTTACCAAAGCCAGTGATTCTGAACCTGAGGTTCTTAAGATGACTATTTGTAGGGGTCTTTAACAATTATTTCCTTCAAAAAAACCAAACTATATATTTCTCCCATTTGAGAAAAAGGTTTGTAGAGATGTATGCAAGGTGCCAGGCTGTCCTTCTCTGGTCTGGAAGTCTCCCTATCCCTTCCTTCCCTTTCCTTCTGTTTAATTAAATTTCTAGAGCTCTTTCCCGTTTGGATTATCCACCTTCATACCTGCAATCTGATTTCCATTGGAGGCAAGGTGAAGGGCAGAGCACTTGATTCTGTTCCAATAGGAGTCTCCAGGTAAATTATGGACAGTTCTCATTCACATATTTGAACCAAACACCATTTCTTGAGAAGGTGAGAAAAGAGCAATGAGGGAGTAAGCCAGGGACTGAGAGGTACGGTCTTTAATGGACATTTGTGGCAGAAGAAACATGGAGGAGCCTATTAACTCCTTCACTCTGTTGTCTCTCTGGAGCCTGAAGACATTCTCTAGGTTCTACTATTTTCTGTATATCCTACACGAAGCATCATGGGATGTTCTAGAATGAGATATCCAAAGCCTTTATTTCACTTCCCTCTCTAAACTGTATCCTTCCCAGAGTGTCCACTCCTCCTCCTATCTGCCACTAATTCTTAGGTTTGATAAAGATTTTTATATAACTCATGAGAAGCCAGGAGTTTTATGAGGTCTTTAGTCAAGTAATTACACTCTTAAGTCTTTTTGTATACTCCTTCATGGGGTCAGACAGAATTTAAGCCACACCCTATACATTGTAGCTCCAAGCAGTGAAAACAGTAGATCATTTTGCTCCCTCCCAATCTGAACCTCAAACCAGCATTTCCTCTTTCTCTCAGATGTGGTATTACCTATCTCCCCACAGCACTTTTCACCTGTTTTCCCTCCTTATCTCTAGGATTTGCTTGCCAGGGGCTCTGGGAACTTCAAGTTCTTCTATGAGTGTGCTCCTTTCTATGACCTGAAGTCTAGACTCTTTGGTTATGCATTTATCATTCTTGCCTTTTTTTTTTTTTTAAGAGGTTTTTGCTATAGGGCACGTGCGTTCGCCAGATCTTGGGCACACACGCACATGCACCCGGCATAAATTTTTTTAAGTCACCGGGTCCAGGATGTGAACCGCGATCAACTACATGGGAGTCCAGCGACATAGCCATTAGGCTAACTGCTGTTCCCATTCTTGCTGTTTTTGCATTGGTATAGTGGTGAGCATAGCTGCCTTCCATTCTTGCTGATTTTTTACATTATGTTCTGTCATTCTGAATGACTCACCGAACAAATGTAGACATGGACACCCTAAAAGTTTTTCAAAATCAAAGTGGAGTAATTTAGTCAACCCTAACTAAACTGAGCTAGGAAAACCGTGGAAATGATGTTTTTTGTTGTGTCTGATAACAAGAACTGTTATTGGGGAGCTCTGCCAGAACCCTAACCTCATACAAGAGCACTGTCACCTGACGCAGAAGTAATTCCTCAAGGACACCTGCCCAAGACTGCCTGTCCAACTTGGACTGACTCCACCCTTGTTATTGATCTTGGTAGCCAAAGATAGTTGTCCCAAAACAACTAGTATAATCCCCCCTCCTCCCTCCCCTCTTGCTTGTGGTTTTTGACTTTAAAACCTGTCCAAGGATTGAAAAGCCTTGGTGAGCATGTAGGATGAATTATGCTCATTCTGGCTACTATGCAGACTACAGTCCTCATGTCTGGCTTAAAATAAACCTCCCTCAATATTTCACAGAGTTTGATTATTTTACGTTGACAGCACTTACTAAAGGTCTAAGTTAGGTTATGAAGGGACCAAATCATTGGCCCAAAAGACAATCTCCTTTTCTGATAGGAGCCTTCCTGTCCCTCCGGGGCTTTCCAAAAAGGCCTTCCTGTCCCTGAAAGGCTTTAAGAAGATTAAAGTTTTTAAAGAAAGTTTCAACCACAACACATGAAAATCCTCACCTTGCCTGGAGGAGTCATGTAGCTTTATCCAAGACTTTTCTTTCTGGGTCCACAGGAACTGAACCCCATATCACATGAGTGTCCAGGGCTATTTCTGAAATCAAGAAGAAGGAAATATAATGCCTGGGGGATCTGGGATGGGGCCAGAATGTGCATCCTATGAGGTAAGACCTCAAAGTTGGTTACTGCTCTCCCATGACACCCACTTGACAACCATTGTTCTCTCTGAATGGGGGCTGTCTACTGACCCAGCTTCATACCAAGCACCAGCTTCCTGGTGAGGGAGTTGGTGAGAAAAGTCTGATCCAGGTATGTGGGCTATAACTTGATCACGTTTTTCTCCTAATAAAAAGTTTTATTGGGGGTCCAGCAGATGATGTGATAGTTAAGGGTGCTGGGCTCCCACTTGGCTGACTGCGGTTTGAGTCCCTGACCTGGTGGCTTGCTTTCTCACTTTTCCTCTCTCTCTCTCTCACTCCTTCCCTCTCTGATCAAATTAATAAAAATACAGAAATAAAAACAAATAAAATTCAATAAAATAATCTTTAAAAAGTTTTATTGATATTTGTCCAAATTTTACACATGGGGGAGTGTCTTCAAAAAATTCATGGAAAGCAAGCATACAGTACTTGAAGAACTCTGAGATTGCTCTTTTTTTGTAGAACAGATCTTGCAGCAAGAACTGTAGCCACTTAATTGGAAAACTTAAATGCAAGGGAAAATAATTGCATCCCAGGGTAGATGGAGCCAAGGGGCAGTACTCAACAGGCGATGGCCAGGTGGACAAAGTTACTGGAATGGACAACAGAGGCAAAGCAACAATCAGAATAGTCTTATTCATGTAGAACTATGACATTGACTGGTTAATTGTGGTGTTCCTAGAACTGAAATGGAAAGAAAGTCTACTAAATTCTTTCCTTTTCTGTATAAGCAGAAAACTTTCAGGTCAAGTGAACAAAGTCTAATTTGGATAATGAAAGCAGATAATCATAACCGTCAATCAATTCCTAGACCCGAGCCAGTTTATAGACTTAGAATCTCTTGAATAAAGAGGTGACTGGGTCCCCTTGAAGAAGCACCCCAGGCACTACCAAAAAATTGTGCTGTTGATTTTTCTCCCAGTCTTCTCTAAAGGTATTTACAGCTTTTTGCCAGAGAAAATGTATACTAGAGAAAAGAAGATAATCAGACACTCTTGGGAATATCGCACACTGGCCATGAGCTGACACTGAGTCCGGGAAACCCAAAACATTACTGCGGCCCTGCAGTTGGCATAGGGAGTTATGGAGGTCAGTGATTAATGGAGTTTTAGCTCCGGTTTGACTCACAGCAGGTCCAGTTAGTCTCTGAACCCACCCTGTGGTTATTTCCTCAGTTCCAGAATGTATAATTAGAACAGACATTGGTGCAAGCAGCTGGTACAATCCTCATGTTGGTTTCCTAACCTGTGAAACAAGGAATGTTATGGTGGGAAAGGCCAAAGAGAAGCTATTAGAGCTACTTCTACTAAGAAAATAGTAAACCAAAAGCAATACCACATTCCTCAAGGGACTGCAGAAATTAGTGCCCCATCAAGGAATTGAAAGATGAGCAGTTGTGTTTCCATTCGGTTCTGTGCTGGCTTGTGCAGAAAACAAATGGATCTGAGAGAATGACAGTGGATTGTCAAATGCTTAACTAAGTGTTGACTCCAGTTGCAGCTGCTGTATCAGATATGGTTTCAATGCTTAAGTAAATTAACCTATTTCTTGGTATGCAGCTATTGATCTGGCAAATACTGGGTCATCGGAATAGTCATGACATATTTTTCTATGCAATAATGCATCATGACTTTTCTGATGAAGATAAAGGTATTGACCTTTATCTTCATCTCCGCTCGTTAGGTCCATCAGAAATAGTTTACTTTCAATTTGGCAAGGCCAGAAATACTCTTTCAGTATCTCAGGGATATATTAACTCCCCAAGCCTGTTATAATATAATCCTCAGGGATCCTGACCATTTTCCCTTCCAAAAGATATCACTTAGTCTATTACATTGATGAGATTATGCTGGTTGGACCTAGTAAGCAAGTAGTAATGACTACTCTGGATTTCTTGGTAAGACATTTTTTTAGAGGTTTTTACCTTAGGGGTGCATGTGCTCACCAGAGAGAGAGACAGAGACAGTGAGAGGGAACGTGAGAAATCACCTCCCAGGTGGGGATGTCCACACTGCAATTCCTTCTCCGTTTTCTTCCTGGGATCTTGGGGACACATGCCCACGCACATGGTGTGATTTTCAAGCTAATAGGTCCGGGACTCAAACCTTGGTTGGCCATGTGGAAGTCCAGAGATGTAACCGCTATGCCATCTGCTGGCCCTTGGTAAGATGTTTGCATGTCAGAGGATAGGAAATAAATCACTAAAATTCAGGGGCCTTTTTTTTTTTAGGTTTTTGCCATAGGGCATATGGGCCCTCTAAAGAGAGAGAGAGACAGAGACAGAGACAGAGAGAGGGAAAGTGAGAAATCATGCTCTAAGAAGTACAGTCATGTAGCAATCCCTTTTCCTTCATTCTCTTCTTGGGATTTTGGGCATACACACTCAAGTGCCTAGCATGATTCTCAGGTTGCCGAGTCCAGGACTCAAATCATGATCAGCCATGTCTGGCACCCTAAGCACCACACCACGGCTGGCCTTCTACCTCAGTGAAATTTCTAAGGTCCAGTGGTATGGAGCATGTTCACATATCCCTTCTAAGTAAAGAATATGTTGCTGCACCTGCCCTCTTCCACAATCTAGAAAGAGGCACATTATCTAGTGGACCTATTTGGGTTTTGGAGGCAACAGGTTCTTCATTTGGAAGTGTTACTCCAGCCCATTTATTTATTTATTTATTTTTATACATTCAATCGCTATATATCACTTAGCTTGTAAAGTGAATTTTCCCACCATGAATACACTTCACACCAGTCCAGTTGAGAATACTATACACATTATCATCAAACAGACAATAATCCAGTTCTGTGTCCCATAAATGTCTTGCCTCACCCTCTTCACACACTGAATCCAGTATCTGTAACCAGTTTCCATGCTTCTATATCCTCTAATCTTTCAGTTTCCACCATACAGTGTGGACAGTTGGTATATATACTAACTGGAGACATACAATGTCTCTCTTTCATAGCCTGACTTGCTTCACTCAGCAGTAAATCTTCCATATTCGCCCACTTTCTATCAAAAGCCAGGGTCTTGTTTTTTAATGACTGAGTAGTATTCCATGGAGTTCCATATGTGCCATACTTTCCCAATCCATTCATCTGTTCATGGACATTTGGTTTGGTTCCATGTCATAGCAAGTGTGAATAATGCTACAATATGGGGCTGGCAGGTGGTGTGGTGGTTAAGGACGCTGGACTCCCACATGGCCCACTGCGGTTCAAGTCCCGGACCTGGTGGCTTGCTTTCTCTCTCTCTCTCTGTCTCTCCCTGGTCAAATTAAAATAAATAAATAAAGTTAAATAAAATAATTCCTTAAAAAAAATGCTACAATAAACAGGTGTGCAAGCACTTCTCCAACTGAGCATTCTCCTGTTCTTTGGGTAGATACCCAGGAGTGGAATTGCTGGATCATATGGTAGTTCTATTTCTAGATCTTTGAGAATCCTCTATATTGTTCTCCACAGTGACTGGACTAATTTACATTCCCACCAGCAGTGTAGGAGACTTCCTCTTTCACCACATCCCTGCCAGCACTTGTCATTTTTTTCTTTAAGTCTTTGCCATTCTGACTGGGGGTAGGTGGTATCTTACTGTGGTTTTGATATGCATCTCCCCTATGATGAGGGATGTTAAGCATTTTTTCATATGATTTTTGGCTATTTGTATGTCTTCCTTAGAGAGTTGCTTGTTCAGCTCATTTTCCCATCTTTTAATTGGATTTGTTTGTTTGTTTGTTTTTTCTTTTTGGTAAGCCACTTGAGTTTCCTGTGTATTCTGGTTATTGATCTCTTATCTGAGGCATAGTTTACAAAAATATTCTTCCATTTGAGGGTTGTCGATTCACACTAGCTACTGTGTCTTTTGCTGTGCAGAAATTTCTTAATCTGATATGATCCCACTTTTCTATTTTGGGGATTATTGCCTGTGCTTTGGAGGTCTTATTTAGGAAGTCTTTGCTTAGGACCAGCAGTTAGTGTAATGGCTATGTCACTGGACTCCCATGTAGTCAACCGCGGTTCGAGTCCCGGACCCAGTGGCTTAAACTCATGCCGGGCGTGTGTGCGTGCGTGCCCAAGATCCCGAGAGAAGAAAGGAGGAGAAGGGATTGCAGCATGGCCATCCCCCCCGGGGGGTGATTTCTCGCTTTCTGTCTCTCTGTCTCTCTCTATCTTTCTGGTGAGCGCACGCTCCCTATCGCAAAATCCTCTCCAAAAAAAAAAAAAGATAGGAAGTCTTTGCTTACTCTGTCTCCCAGAGTCTCCCCAGTGTTTTCTAGCAGTAGTTTTATAGTTTGAGGTCTTAGGTTTACACTTTTGATGCACTTTGAGTTGATTCCAGCCCATTTATCAAGTGACCTAAAAAACTGCCAGTTTGTAAGGTGCTTAGGATAGGAGAAGGGTCTGCAATTGGTCTCGCCTGCTGTGCAAGTTGCTCTGCCACTTGAGCCATATGATCCAACAGATCCAATGTCATCAGGAGAGTTAGTGATGGGTAGGAATGCAATGTAAAGCCTCTGGCAGGCCCCATTAGGTGAATTGCAGCATAGGTCTTCATGAGTTTTGAGCAAGGTCCTGACATTATCGACAAATAACTATTAATCTTTTGACATTATCTACAAATAACTATTAATCTAGCTAAATCTTTAGTTAATAGTTATCCACAAATAACTATTAACTATCAATCTTTTGGCTGTTGGCCAGCTACTGGTTCTTAATAGAAATTCAATGCTTGGCTATGGGCCACCAAATTACCATGTGTCCTGAGCTGCCTATCATGAGCTGGGTGTTACCTGACCACCAAAACCTTAAAGTTGGGCAGGTACAGTAGCACTCCATCAGCAAATAGAAGTGTAATATATACGTGACCAGGCTCGAGCAGGTCCTCAAGGCACAA